ACAATCAACATGTCCTGCAAGAACAGAACGAGAAGCTCCATGAGGATGTGAAAGCGTTACGAGTACAAGTGGAAAGCGCCCCTGCGGTCACCGCGACTAGGACTTGGGCAGCAGTCGCAGCCACTGGCGATAATGCCACACCCTCGCTGAGCCACCAGAAACCCGAGAAAAAGCAAAACTGCGTCCAAATCAGCACCCAGAGAGCCTTTGTAGACCCCAGAGATAATGACAACAACGACGGAAACGCTTTTGGGCGATATCTCCCCACAGATACCGTCAACACCCACATCCGCACAGCATTGCAGAGCGACGCTGCAACACAAGACGCCCAAGTGGTAGGAATTGGCACCACCAAAACCGGCTATCTCATTCGATTCAAGAACGTGGAGTCGGCTCAGGTGGCTCGCAACAACACTGAGTGGCTACATAAATTGGGCAACAACACGAAGCTGGTTAAAGCACGGTTCGGCATTGTCGTACATCGCACTCCAACTGACGAATTCGACCTGGAAACTGGTACCGCCCAAGCAGCAGAAAAAATCATCCAAGAGAACGACCTGGCAGAACACGGTTTCCACATCGAAGAACTGGCCTGGATGAAAGCGAAGGACAAAGCCCTAGGGAAATTCGCATCGTTAGGAATCTGGTTTGACTCCGCAGAAGGAGCAGAACATATGCTCCGTAACGGTTTCGTTGTCAGTCAACACTACATCCCTCAGGTAGAGCGATGCGAGATCAAGACAAAGAGATGTTTCCGGTGTCAACGGTTTGGACACCTGGCATGGTCATGCAAGGAAACCCCGCGGTGCGGACACTGTGCAGGTCAACACGAGCGGCAGCGCTGCCCCCCCGGAATCAGGGCCCGCTGCCTCGACTGTGGGGGTGAGCACGCTACCGGAGATCGACGATGTCTAACCCCCGCGACCTCTCACCCCAACCGATGTTAGAGAGCAACCTACGCATCCTTCAGCTGAATATTATGAAATCAGGACCAAGAATGGAAGCACTCATCAATGATCACCAAAGCCAAGACCTGGATATCCTTCTGATCCAGGAGCCATCGATCACAACCTACCGCACACATGTCAACCACAGCGCCTGGCGACTATATCGACCCACCACACAGACCGACGCAGTTCGGTTTCGCAGCCTCATCTACGTGAACAGACGGATCTTCACCTCCTCACACCGTCAAATTCCCTGCGACCACCCAGATGTCGTAGCCATCAAGATCTGGACGACCGATTCTCAAACTCTTTTCTTTTCTGTCTACATACCTCCAGTACCGCTCTTTACGGTCGATGACGCGTCAGCAATGCCGGTGCTCACTGCAATAGCAAACACCATCACAGCCGCGGTACAGAACGAGCAACGCTCTACAAGCATCATTATCACGGGCGACTTCAACCGACATCATCCAATGTGGGGCGGCAATCATATCCCACCCAGATTTATTGAAGATGCCAGCGACCTGATCACCTTCTTCCAAATTTACAATCTCTCCAGTTGCCTCCCTCGGGGAACGGCGACTTACTGGGCTCTAAATAATCCAGGACAGAACTCGACCATCGACCAGACAGTGACAGACAACCCAGGCCTGCTCGTCAAATGCCATTTGTACCACGAGAACTACGGATCAGACCACCGTGCCACCTACTCGGAATGGAGTCTACAAGCCCAGAGCAAGCCAAGCACAAAAGCCAGGAAGGCGTACGAGCGCGCGGACTGGGGGAGAATCGGCGAAGAAGTAGCCCGACAGATGAACCCATGGAGGCAGATCAAGACCCGGCCAACACTCGACCGGGTAGTGGAAACCCTTACAGCGGCGACGGCCCAGGCGGTCGACCGGTTCACACCCGACACACGCCCCTCGCCATACTCCAAGCGATGGTTCACGCCAGATCTCAAGACCCAACAAGTCGAAGTCAACCAACTGCGTAGGAGGTGGCAGGCAAACTGCGCCGAGCTGGGAAGACAGCACGCTGACACCACGGCTGCCTTCGAAGCTATGCAGCAGAAACGACGAGCGTGGACGAGGACCATCGAGAAAGCTAAGTCTTCGCACTGGAAGTAGTTCCTAGACGAAGCTGGTGAAGGGAAGCTCTGGAAGGCCGCGACATACATGAAGCCCCGAGAGACATGGGGTTGTGTCCTAGCGCTGCGAGTAGGCTCGGACGATTGCACGCAAAACGAAGACAAAGCGAGGGCATTCATGGATGCGTTCTTCCCCGCCATGAATACACCCGAAATCAGCCCACCCACCGCAACGGAGACGGAACTTCAGTGGCATCCGATTACCGAATTGGAGATCGAACGATCACTGAAAGCAGCCAAAGGGAACACAGCGCCTGGCGAAGATACCTTACCGATGCTGGTTTGGAAGAAGCTTTGGAGACATCTCAAGAGCTTCATTGTTAACATCTTCACAGCGAGTGTAGAGCTAGGGCACCATCCGAGACAGTGGAGGAGCGCAAAAATCATCGTCTTACGGAAACCAGGCAAGCCAGATTACTCGTTGCCTGGTGCCTACCGCCCGATCTCACTTCTGAACACGCTCGGCAAGCTCCTGGAGGCAGTGATGGCCCGACGGTTATCCTATCTGGCGGAGAAACACGGCCTGCTACCGAACAGCCAGTTCGGCGGACGGCCGGGAAGGACCACCGAGCAAGCCCTACTGGTATTATCCAGCGCGATCGACAAAGCCTGGTACAAACACAAGGTGGTAACCCTAGTCGCCTTTGACCTCAAAGGCGCCTTCAACGGAGTGAACAAGGCGAGCCTGAACGCATCGCTGCAGAAGAGACAGATCCCAACGGTGGCCAGAAAATGGATTGCAAGCTTCATGAGCGACCGGCACGCCAACATTGGATTTGACGACTTCCGTACCGAGACAGAGCCATTAGTACATGCAGGCTTAGCGCAAGGCTCGCCGCTCTCCCCCATCTTGTTTGCATTCTTCAACGCCGACCTGGTCGACCAGCCCGTCAATTCCAACGGAGGCGCGTCGGCATTTATTGACGACTACTTCCGATGGCACGTGGGCCGCTCGGCCGAGGAAAACATCGCCAAGATGCAGTTCGAGGATATCCCTCGTATCGAGGAGTGGGCGCGGCGGAAAAGACCGAGCTCATTCACCTCACCAGAAAGAAGGGACAGCACTTAGAAGGACAGATCAGCTTCGATGGAGCCGACGTCAAACCGTCACCAACAGCCAAATTGCTGGGGGTGGTGTTCGACCAGGGACTTCGCTGGAAAGAGCATGTCCAGCAGGCTATCAAGCGCGCCACCAAAACGGCAATCGCCTTGAGTGGACTCCGACACTTGCGCCCAGAGCAGATGCGACAACTCTACCAGGCATGTGTCGCGCCTATAGTGGACTACGCATCGACGGTCTGGCATGACCCGCTTAGGGACAAAGTTCACATCCGACACTTGAACACAGTTCAGAGAAACGTGCTGATCAGAATCCTGTCGGCGTTCAGGACGGTAGCAACCGCGACCCTCGAGGTTGAAGCCTATATACTTCCCACACACCTTCGCCTTCGCCACCGAGCGCAGCGCACGATTGCGAGACTGCACACTCTACCCCGCGACCATCCCATTTGGAGTGCTTTGTTTAGAGCCCAGAACCGTAGAAACAATGTCGGATCATATTCTCGCTTCCCGTTAGCAGAAGCGCTGAAGACCATGGACGTTGACAGGCTCAATGAGCTGGAAACGATTAACCCACACCCGTTGCCCCCGTGGCGTCCGGATGCCTTTACAGAGATTGAGCTTGAACCCGACCGAGAGACAGCGAGAGAAAGGGCGGTGTCCGCAAAGAACACGTCAGGCATCGTCGTCTACTCAGACGCCTCTGGGCGTGAGGGCCATCTAGGGGCCGCCATCGTCGCCTTGATCGACAATGACGAGGTGGCGGAGTCCCAACAGGTGCAGGTGGGGTCGATGGAACGGTGGTCAGTCCACGTGGCGGAACTCATAGGCATCTTCTATGCGATCAGCATGGTATTCAAGTTGGCTCACCAACGCGCGGGCGTTGGAAATCATACGCACGTAACAGCAACAATCCTTTGTGACAGCAGATCCGCTTTGCAGGCAATCCAGAACGTGAGAAATAGATCAGGGCAACGCATCATTCATGCAATCCTCCAAGCAGCCACCGAGGTTCAAGCAGGGCATATTTCCCTCCGTCTCCAGTGGGTGCCGGGCCATTGTGAAATCGCCGGGAACGATGCCGCGGATCGACTCGCCAAAGAAGCGGCGCAACCGGGCAAAACCCATCCTTTCCGGCCGCTGCTGACGAGAGAGAACGCCTTTCTCCGCGGCAAGATTCACGCTCAGTGGGAGCAGGAGTGGAACTCAAGCATCAAAGGAGCGCATCTACGGAAGGTGGACAGCGCGCTACCAGCGAGGCACACCAGAAAACTGTACGGGAACCTGCCCAGGAACCGAACATACCTGCTCACTCAGCTGCGCACGGGCCACAACTGGTTATCCACATACGCCAAGAGATTTGGCTTCCGGGACGATGATCGATGCGAGTGCGGCGCGCAGGAGACGGTCAGTCACGTGTTGTTGGAATGTCCCAAACTACGAGACTTGCGGATAGAATTAAGAAGAAGTGTTAGGGACGCGTTCAACAGCGTGTCGAGTCTGCTGGGAGGCTCAAAGGAAGGTGAGAGAGGTAAGCCAGACACCGTCTCGAGGGCGAAGACGGTTCAGGCCGTATTGGACTTCGCCGAGGCGTCACAGCGGTTTCGCAGTCGTGCGCCACAAGGGCAGCCTAACAACGGGAGCGGCAATGGGCCAGGGTAGGCCGTGACGAGGCTCTAAGTTCATGTCAGAAAGTGGATCATTCTAGAAGTACATACTCGGAGATATAGTTGTCGTATACTGCATATCGCTTTGCGAGGGGTCAGTGTAAATGAATCCTACTACTACTACTACTACCACTGTACTGATCTGTGGTTCAGAGGTCTCTGAAATCTCTCAGTTTTGAGATGACGGTCACGGCGCGTGCCAACGACATGGCCCACGACGCGATTCGTCAAAATGTTTATGATATGCTAAATGACTTCATCACTCAGCGTCTTGATCAGCGTCTGAACCCTCTCAAACTTATCGATTCCTCCATTGACGGCTTTACCACTGAATTGGAGCATCACCTGACGGTCGGAGAGTCCATTGTGGAACTATCGGAGGACGACCTTGAACTCCTTTGCCCTGGTAGGCCCTGGCGGTTTCTCTCTCCTTGGCCAGATCAAGATGATCGCAGAAAAGAACTCCATGCAACTGAGATGGTCCTACACGAGCTTACTGATAGTCGGAAAATGATGGATGAAGGTGGAATTTCTTGGAATTTCTCATGTGCTCACTGTCAAAACGTAAAAGAAAAGTAATATCGATGAATAGTTGTGGAAAAGGTTTCGCTCGTTGAGCAACATCTCCAAAATCATCGCAGTTCCATTTCTCAACTCTTTGAAGGTCAGCACCACGCCAGGCACCAGGAAAGTGGTCTGGATTTCGACGGTGCTCAATCTCCTGTCTCAAGTCGAGGCGCTTCTGGTGTGGCTGCCTCGGTGGAAGTTGGAAGCTCAGTTTGCCAAAATTTACCGTCTATCCCTACAAACATCCGCTCTCCTGGCACCATCCTAGAAGGCTCGAAGAAACCAGACGCACCAGGCAATAACATTGCCAGAGATGATATGCAACGAGATAGTCAGCCAAGGAATGACACAAGGCAAGGATCTAGGTTACACACATCCGATCTCATCTAGAGTTTGAGCCAGTAAGTGAAGCACCAACTTTCTTGTCTTCTCAATTGACCCGTGAAAAGGCTCCTTGATGATCCGAAATTTGGAGAAGCAATGCACTACTTAGGCGATGGGCAGTCTTTCTTCATTGCTATCGAAAGCAAATTCCTAGCGCACCTACCGTCACGATTTTTCCCTTCGCGGTCAGCCCAGTTCTATACAACCGACCCGGGAGATGAGCCACAGCCCTTCGCTTCCTTCACCTCTGCGTAATAGTATTTCTCAGTCCGGGCCCCGGTACAAAGTGATCAAAAGAAAGCGGACAAGAGAGAGTGATTGAGAGAGTCAAGACGAAGGTGAGCCTTTTTTGGGGCTTACTATCGAGACGCATCATTTCGAAATCTTCTCGATATACTAAGTTTCCGGTGTCTGGTTGTGCTTTTCAATGTCTTCATGCGAGCTGAAGCCATTCACGGAATTTTAACGGTCTGCTTTGAGCTCCCATAAACCCCCTCAGCACACCTTGTCTCTGTTCATGTACGAAGAAGTGCTGTTGTATACTAAAGATTCAAATTGTTCAAAACAAATTATTGATCTGAGTGGTTCTGTGTGTGTTTTGCTAGTCAGCTAAGCATCACGGCTTGAAACTTTCCAAACCCGGTAGCCGCCTACTATTGTCGCTTAGTGGAGCTCGGTTTTTTATCATTGTAATCGTAGCCACCGCAACAAAAGATTACCAGAATTTGATTCCTTTGCCGCCTAGATAGCTAAAATGGCCCTTTTGCCACGATGCAAGAGCTGTTTTAGGGTCAGACGTGTCATGAGAGATCCGAACACATGTCAACACACACCGTACTAGCTATATTGAGATAGTATCATCTGAGACGGACGTCAAGAAATAACCGGGGAGTATGAATGCATGTCTCTAACAAAAGACTCGTTGGGCTATACGTGTAGACCGTTCGTTACTGGCCGCAATTTAGGCCGTTTCAAGACAATTATGCATGTATTTTACGATAAGAAAGATACAAAGTGATCTCGTAGTTGTCTTCAAACTATGATGCAGTCGACGGCAAAGTTCTTCTGCGGCCAGATGTCCCGCAATCCTCTATTGACGCCCAATTCCTGATGCATGCAAGGTTCCAAAACGTATGCTTACTTTAAACTGCGGAGGATCTAAATCGAGCTCTGAAACCATCCATTCAACTTCCTTCCTTCTGCCTGTCCTTTTTCGAACAAATAGATTATTTTTGTGTGTTTCAGACCGTAGGGTTGCTTCGCTTATCGGATTGCTCTATCGGGACAGCCGCGGTGATTGCTCGGTAAATGGGCGCAAGGTATATGTATGAAGCTCCGTGGAACACCCGGTGTGGCTACACTGAAGAAGGCTGCATAGCAGAGCATGCGCCTCTGACGCTGGTACATAGCGAGTGATAAGCAAAGCCGCTGGTTTGAAAGACAGCTACCTTCGGGTCACTGCCCTGATTGTGAAAGGGAAGACCATACGCCGAGTCCAGGTAATTCAATCCTGCAACATAGTCATATGACCCAACGAAACGACTAGTCTCAGCTTTTTACTCAGCCAGCATCTTTAGAGAACTGATTAATAACCTTACCAGTACAGCGAGGATCGAAATCAGTTTCACCGCTTGCATACGGAGATATTGTCTTGGACCCTGTTCCGAAACCCACTAGACATCTATTTCGGTTTAGTCTGACTTTGAATACCGAATTGTCTTCAAAAGTTACGATCAAGTGGTATGATCTCTCACAGATTAGCGGTACTGGGCCTAATGAACCAGTCGAAAATGATAGCTGGTCGCACTGCTCTGAAATGTACTGTATAGAATATTGGAGAACTGGTAGACACTGAATTTCAACCATCCAACAATGGGTTTACTGCAATGTGGTTATTTGATACCTGTAGCATGTATAATGACAGGTTGATTACAGCACATATATATTGCTTGAGACGATAGAACCAAAAGCAATTACCTGCATGGAATGGTACCTGGACGATTGTTCATTTCGAATGTGAAATGGCTTTGATATCTAAAACATGAGAAAGCCCAGATCCAAGAGCATCACACATTGCTGAATGGTCCATGGCCCTGAACAAGATGATCGACGACTTCTTGGTCGGTTGGCATATTTTGAATATCCTGAATCAACGAGTATATTTCCTCCGGCGTCCCAGAGCGTAGCTTAGCAACCACTTGGCAAAAAGCAACACGAAAGTTGAGCAGCTCGGCGGTATGAGTCTTGCGTCTCCGATCACGGTTTGGATCATACAAGCACTTGCGATTTTCAGTCATACACGTGGCACAAGGAGTCGTACCAGAGCACTTCGCTGAGTCAGTTCCGGCCTCAAGAGGAGGGACGATAGTTCTAACCTTAGATCGCTTTTTCTGGCACTCGGTACAGGCCAGAGAAACATTGCGTCGCTGTTTCGTCGGCGCGCCCACTCTCAGATACTGATTGCCGACTTCTTTATCTCTAGGCAGAAGCTGGCGCCGACATTGATTATTGGACATTGTAGGATTGGATTGGTGAAGGCACTTCGTGGATAGAGAGATTTAGATTTGGAAGTGGGCTCTGGGAGAACATCGAAATTTGAGACTCAGGGGCTCCTTTCAGGCTCTGTTTGTTTTCCTTTTACATCCTTGCTTGCAATTTTCTTTGTTTGCTAACGGGAATTCATCCATAACAAACAAAGAACCCAGCTAGAAGACCCACCATTGGGGAAAGCTCCGCAATATCATTGGCGGATTATTGGAACAGTCAGCCGTCATTGGCCATATTCCTGCCGGGAGCACCCCCACATCATATCGTGCTGAATTCTTCCCGCACGATCCGTGGTGGCTCATCTAGACCAGCGTGATCAAGATGTTTACTTAAACACAGGTAGTGCATGGTAGTAGTGCATGGTACGCTAAGCTCATCTGGCAGTTTGGCCTCCTCGTCGACGCCAGGAAACTACGCTGATTATCACTACAATCTCTTCCGCAATTATAACGTTACAGCGATGACTTTCTGTTTGGCTTGTTTGTAAGATGTCACGGTCCATTTAGCATGCAGGACCTAAAGGTAGTTTATTTTTAGGCCATCGTTACAAATTTAACCGTACTAGGATACTACCAAGATCGGGGATCAGGATGTCGACTATACTAGGAATGTGGTTTGTCTTTAAAGAGATATAGAGAAAGACTTGAATTGGCGGAAACCCCCATTAAGCATAATGTTGGCTTGGTATGATTGAAACCCTTCAGAAAACTGGATTGGCCCAGCCAGAGAAGAAAAAAAAATAGACTTAGGCGCAGGACGTGATAATCAGCCCGATCCCGCCCGCTAAAAAGCAAGTTCTCACATCATCACTTCGAAGCCCTTTCGAGGAGACGAACAGGCAATACGATCCTGCAGCTTATTGCTGTCATAATGAAGCTGGCGTGTGCTGTCAGCCCAGGCATCGTCACCTTTTGCTAAGGCTCGCAGCTTTATATGACCCCCTAGCTCACAGGGACTGCGAGTATACCAAGTCACGTACACTTTCTACTTCATGACATGCTGGGTCAACGCTCTAGAAGCCCGAAGAGCCAAGCAATTCTGATACAGAAGCTATTTTTGTGCTTGCCCTGAAACGCACGAAGTGAGAGAAAGGGATTCTCCGCCTGCGGGAATACCCCTGTCTCCAAAACTTTTTTTTTTTTTTTGGCTGTTGTTAGCCAAGTTATGGCTTCTAATTCGCTATTTCGTTCCACTGCTCCCCTCTGATTCGCTACTTTCTCATTTCTTCTCATTCCACGCCCTCTTCTGATTGCTGTTCGAGCAATGTTCAGTTCGGTTGAGCGTTGGCGGTTTTTATCCTTATCCATTGGCTTTTTTTACTGAAACCCTAACAACTCACTCTCCAACCCTGGTATCCGTGTCTTGTGCTTCATATTCATTCGTTATATCCTCATGCTCATTACGTGCATGGTTTTGCTACGCACTTCTAGAAGATCTTCATCTGGTTGGTTAAATGACTCTGACGTGTCCAGACAGACCGCTTCTTATTACCTATACTCTTGTGTCTGAAAATTCATAGCTTCTACCCATCAAAATCTTCAGGACCATTTGCAACTAGCTATTGCCTACTTTATGTTCTTGACGTGATTGTCTGCTATACGTATGGATATAACGGAAATATGTAAAGACATTCTTACTTGATATGTCTTCGTCTGGAAACCAATCCAGGCGTGGCGTTCACCTACTTCCGGGGTTCTTTCTCCCCACCAACTTAACTTTCCCCATCAAGTTGCCGGCCTACTCTTGTGCAACCCGTTTCCCCGCCTCCTACATGCGTTCCGACCACCCCATCAGTCTCACGTTCATGCCCTTTCCCTCCTCCCTCGTACGATTCGCCGAGTTGTCCCAATGATGCCCTTGTGTCACTGATCGGTTCGACTTCATTGAGCGGCGGAACTTCCTTGTCTGATCAAGCATTGCAACCCCTCCGACTGCCAAATAACCTTTGATCATCTCTAGTTCGGTTTGTTCAAGGTCAAACTTGGATGGGAAGAGATGAAGCATTAGGCCTTCCATTGTGTCTGGCTTCAACTGTCCCCGACGATATGCAATCGAACCCAGATTTTCTCTGAACCTTCCGAGTAAATGAATTCATATAAGTTAAGATACAAATGAAAGTTCCGTGTTGTTCAGTACGAATCAGATCTATTTTAACTTGATTTCGTCAAACTGCGAAATATTTTATACTTCGCGTACAAGGTATATTTTACTCTCCCCTATACTATCTATATATATTCGCAAATTCCAGAAAACCATCGCTTACTGGTAAAGCAACAAGAGACTATATATGTCAATATTTCTTATAAATCGATGGCATGAGCAATAAAATATATGGCGCTGTGGTGTTTTACGAGAAGAGGCGTATCTTCAAATTAGGTTAAAGAATTTGAAAAACTGTAGAATCATCACCTGATAGGCTAAAATCGGTAAATGAGGCGAGAGCTATGCTAGTGCGGTTTCTTGCGGTTGTGGTTTTGACTATGACCCAAGACCACGGGTTTGCCGCTGCCTAACTATGCCTACGTCATAGTAAACCGGGTCCCAAGCATGTATTTGAAAAGTTCTTTTCCCGGGTTCTACCTAGATTAGATCAACTCAATTATTTGATTCTCACCTATTCCTTTCCGTTCAGTAGATCAGGATGGCGCTTTCATGCTGCATTATTCTAGCCTGCTAGTCTGTTTCAACAGAATATACTGGATGGAGTGTGTCGTTGTTCAGAGGTATAAATTGTGTTCAACTCTTCTAAAGGAAAGGATGAGGCTAAATATACAATAAGGAGCCAAGTTGATTTCCATTGTCTGTATAGATACTTCGGATCTAATTCCGACAGCGCGGCTTGGTTCCTGATCTGCACCAGCTCCATATCACAACACCATGACCGGGCAGCAATCGCAGGGGAGGAAAGAAATACGCCAATGAGCCATTTTGACGTGAACTTAATTTGCAACATCTCCCGCCCTTCAGGTCGATTTCCTCGGGCGGGGCGATGGCATTGATGGCAACAGCCAGAAATTTGCTTCTTAACGTGATGCCACTTTGTCTATGGAGGGGTTTGGTGATGATCACGTCAACTAGCCGATTTTGTCCTCCTCGAGGCAGCTGCCAATATCATTTCATTTAGAAAGGAAGTAATCTAGACTAGCCCCGGCAGTGCTATCAAATATCCTCATAGTGTCTATCACTCTCGAGTTTGGGCTATACATGGAGCAGTCTTTGTAGCTACGCTAACCCCGATGCGCCTCCTTTGTAGACGATGTCAAGAGTAATCAAGCACGGCGGCACAGCACCCATCTTGGTTCACAAAAGCCTCTCAGGATACTTGACTTACGGTGGCCTGCTGGTGTGCAAGGCGGCGATAGCCGGGTTCAGGTTGCCTGTTTAGCAGGTCATTGTTAACCTTATTTGGGGGGGTTGTTGACTGAGATGTTGGTAAAGCTTGTCGCAGTCTCCACATGGGTGGAACTTGCTGAGGTCTCAAGCCGGACAAAGCTCGTCGCAGTCCTAACCCGGACGAAGCTTGTTGCAGTCTTGGCTTGGGTGATATTGTGTTCTGAAAATGGGATAATGGTCCTTTCAGAAGTAGTTGAGTTGAAATGAGACGCACCCGATGCGCTTATACCACGCGCAGCATGTTCATTTCGTGCCAGTGTGGATGGACCACGGCTTCTCGGGGACACCCAGAGAGAAGAACCAGATAAAGTAAGATTCTGCTGCTCATGGATTGACCGCGGTTCATCTCTGGCAGTTCCGTTGGCCGGGATTTGATCGGAAAGAGCACCCCGATTCAGAAGTTCAGATCTGGGTGCCAATTGTAAAGGAAAGTAACGCACGTCCTTTAATGGACATAGAATCCCGCTCGGAAGCTTGACAGCAAACTGAGTCTCCAACAGGTTGTTATAGGCCTCGAGGGTAAGCTGGAGCTCGAATTCTGATCCGTACATTTCAGCCCGGAGGGGAAACAGTTTTTCATGTGGAAGGATCCCGGAAATTGTGCCCAGGTGTGACAAAGTGGAGAGGATCGAGTCCGTGACCGGGTATGTGATCCCACAGTCCCAGTCAACAAGGTCGTTTTCCCGGATGTGTTGGCCGAGTTCTCTCGAATCCGCGTAGGTGGTGTACACATTCGTCTCGATCAAGTGATCGGCTTCGTCATCCGTGCCCGGTTCAATATCCTTAGTAAATGTTAGTAGGCGAGGCAGGCCCGTGGCTAGTTGACCCTGTGAACTACAAGTCAGCGTACCATTAATCTGCCAGCTCTCGGCGAACAAAGTCCCGACCCACCTCAGAGAGGAACCACCCTATACCCGTGCGCCAATCTCGACGCTTCAGGCGCCTCCCGCTTTTGGTGTAGTCTCCGATGTAGCTCAGATCAAGGCGCTGCGCGATGGCATGGTCTTCAACAATAGGACTGCGAGAGTACGCAAGTGCTCCATGTGCAATGATCTCAGGCCTAAAAGCAGTGATCACACGTGTCAGCTGCTTTCCACCATGAAGTGATGATCGTGGACCTACTCTGGTACCTGGATGCATATGGCGATGCCGGTCTGAGAGAGCTGTCGCTGCTCGAAGTCCTGGAAAAACCAGTAATTTCCCGTAACATCACCGCAGACCACTATTGTATTGACAGGGTGCCCAGCAAGCCTTGTCCGGTTGCACATGTCTTCAGCTAGTCCCACACTCCTAGATATCAGAGGCTCGAAAAAGGATTCCATGGTATCACTGAGAGAAGCATGTTCATTAGCTTTCGCTCAGGCGCCCCGTCTGTGGCAAGAAGCCTTTCACTTTTGCCCAAAGCGGCGAAAGACTTACGATGATATAGTGGCAGCCTTGCCATCTCCATAACATATCACATGGTCAGATCTACCATTGAAGGAGCGTTTGCATCGGTTAAAAGATAACGATGTGTACAGGGCCCACTGGATATCGTGGCCGAGTTCCGTTCAACCATGGTATTGGTTCTGAAGCCACGAACGCGCCTCCTCGTTGGCAAGGCATCCGGATTCGAAATCGGCCGGGGACGCAGACCGTCACTTGCGCAAGCCTGCATGATGCAGCCCATGCTGTCCTCATACACAACTGAAACATCCTGTAAAGAGGGTCAGTCTCGTGACTCGAAGGAATGAGCCAAGATGTCATACGACGGTGGCACTACCAAGATCAATGATCAATTTGGCGCCGGATTGGAACTTGAGGCTTGTCTTGGATTTGATGTAGTAGGCAGCTGCCAATGGCTCCGACACGCCTCCCAGGACATTCAAATCGACCGCGGTAGCCGCTTGGTAAAGAAGAAGTTTCAGCGACTCACTGCAGCTGACCGGGTATGTGAGGTAGCATTCTATCCCATCGAATCTGCGACCGTGTCTTCGGTACAGCTGTCCCTGGACCGTGTCCACGATGTGCGAGAGGAGTCTACGGTAGATTGTCGCCGGATTGATCTCTCCGACCTGTGGCGCGGACTGTCGGAGCTCCTCACAGGCGGTGGCTAGCCGGCTGGCATACGGTTCCAAGCCCATCGCACCGACTTTCCAATCCATGATCACATGACCGCCCGACAAAGACCCGCCATCGGAACCGAAGACGCAGTCATGACCGTTTGCAGAGAAGACGATGGTAATATCGATTTCGGTGGTCTTGTTCTGTCGTCTCCGCTCGACGGGAACTCCAGGGAGTAGTCGACCGAATCAGAGTCGGGATTCTCGGAGAGGAAAGCTTTGATATTGGAGCAAACCGAAATCAATCGTGATCCGAACTACCACGCACGCTTGCTCGCTACGCGACTCCGACATGACGAGAAAAGAACTCCGTGATTGTTGGGTGAGGTCGGAGCGTTCGACTGACGCGTAGGCCTCGCCAAAACCCGCCCACCGCCCAAACCCGCCCGCGAAAACCCAGCCCATGGGCCGGGTTGGGTCTTAGTCAGCAAACCCGTGGGCGGGTTGTCATCCGGGAAACCCAACCCAAGACCCAAATGGGTACCCGCGATTACCCAAAAAAGCAAACAAAGCTGACTGATCATTTTACACTAAGTTATGCAGTAATTTTCGATTATCTAATTGTTTCGATGGCGTAACTACTAGCTTCTGGCTGTGAATATTTGGAAAGGAACATGAAGGGCTTGAAAAAATCAAATTGGCTAATTATAAAGACTAGTATACCTCGTAACCTCGCAGTCTGCTGGAGGGCATTGTTACCCGACCAGAAGATCTCTTCTGGCTTCTATCACTCAATTGCATGATTGGAGGCGGAAGTAAATCTGCTTCGTCGTAATCAACCACGTCTTCCTCCATACTCTCTTCTTCTTGTTCAGGTTCGTGAATATGTCTGTGTATAGAGCTCCGGCCGGTCTCTACCACCGTACACTCCACTTGGTATGTCTCCTCTGGCTCAGAGTTACCCTCGAGATTCTCGCTCTCTTCAATCTCCTCATTGTCGCTGATCGGCTCTGCATCCTCTTCGATTGCCTTCAACGCTTCATCCTCTTCAAGTGCCTCTTGGCTCTCGCTCTCCAACGGTTTCTCCAGACGAATCAATTGCTGTCCCTCTAGTGTGAGCTTTTCTGAGCACATGTACATCATCAAGTCTTGAATGGTCCCTTCGTGAAGAGACCCTCGGCGATAATGACAAATGTCTCGTGCGCTATTGAAGAGCCTTTCTACACCCGCGCCGGTGGCAGGGACCGAAAGCAAGTCTCGTGCGAGCCGAGACAGCACTGGGAATTCGCGCTCGTGTTCTTTCCAATAAAGTCGCGGCGACACAGGGACATTGGCTATTCAAGGTCAGTCAGTTGTTCCAGTGTGTTGTACTGATTGCTCGTGCCTTCGCGAAGATACTGGTCCACTTCGTCATACTCTACTCCTTCATGGAAAATCGATGCACCAGGTGGCTCGAGTAGCCGATCAAGCTCTGTGCTATGCGAATTGGAAGATCGCTGGACTGTACGGAATAGCAACTCGGGGTTCTGCTGCTGATACTGTGTGAAAGATGCTCTCAAATATTCACAGTACCTTTTTGACGTATCTTCATGGCAAGTTGAGTACTCTCGATCATCAAAAGCACTCAGTTTATACTGAGGGGCAAGTAATGTTCCAGTGCCATAGAGAAAACCGTGGTCGCGGTAGGTTTTTTCGTAGTACTCTTTCAGCTTCTGCCTCGCCACAAGCAACGCGCCATACATGTCTTTCTTCCAGGGTGTTGTCTTTCTCTTCAATCTTCGATTCGACCGTTCGATATGCTCCAGTAGTTTCCTATACACAAGGAACACACTATGGATTGTGACGTCTCTGGTCTTCATCAGAGCCATGGTGAACTGAAAAAACGGTTTGGTCAAATGAACGAGGTAGTCAATTTGCCTCCATTCAACGTCGGTAACCTTGAGCTGCGAGTATTCATGATCGCAGCAGTATTTGTCGATTACATTTCTCAGCCGGCGTGCTCGGCGAAGCATCAAAAAAGTTGAATTCCAGCGTGTCTGAACGTCATGTAACGGAAAAAGCCGAGTACCACCTGATTGGAGGCATAAAAAAGCATCACGCCGTTGTGGGCTTGCGTTGACAAAGATCGCAAAGGATCGAATCTAATGCTGTCAGTGCTCTGAGTATATTGAAAAGGTGAATATCTTGGCTCACCTTTGTCAGTGTATGAGCCACGTCTCCATAATTGATCGAATCCTTCAACCCGTGCGCTTGGGTGTCGGACCAAAAGGCTCTGACTTCTTTATTCTTAGGTGCTGCCCTGATATGTCCCAGTAGCTGTTTCAGGCAAAGCTGGATCACATGAGCCATGCAGGGAACCCGGACTATTGATTCCCTGGAGCTAATAGCTCCAATAGAGAGCAGTCTCTCTTGCAAGGCGCGTATCATGGTGTCGTTGTTGGTAGCGTTATCTGTAGTAACGCTAAAAATACGATCGAGAAGTTTTCGTTCCTCCAGTAACCGGTGCAAAACATCACTAAGGTTGTTTCCTGTATGAGGACCGTGCAACGGCTCAAAGCCGAGGAGCATTTCCCTATAGTTCCAATCTTTGTCGATGAAATAAACCGTGATTGCCATGAATGCCTGCTGAAATGGACTGGTCCAACAATCTAAAGCGAGGGAAACCTTGGCATCTTCAGGCAGATCTTGTAACTGTAACTCTTGCTGGCAATTGACTGCATCCCGGAGCCGTCTTCGCAGGGTCTTCGCTGACGGGAGTTCCAATTCTTTGGGACCAGAATATAAAAGGCTGAGTAGCCTCTGAAACACCGGGTTCTCCACCGTCTGGAAAGGCAAACGAAGACACGTAATTGTCTTCAATATCTGCTCCTCGATTTGAAATGTTGTCACTCTGTGGACACTGGGTGAGTCTCTCATGGAATGGTTCTGCAAAGAATCCGAAATCAATGACTGATTAAATCCCTTTTTCTTCCCTTTACGACAAGTGTTAGACTTTTTGTGTCTACTCATGGCGCTTGTCCCATTCCCTTTATACTGTGGATGATCAAGCACAGTGAGACAAGCCTGGCAGATGACTCGAGGACGCCCAGAATCAATATCAGCAACCTGGTCAAAGTGTTTCCACACATCAGCGTGACGCGATCCGGTGGACCATTTGATCTGGGATTGGCCTTCTCCATTCAGCTTTTGGCCGTACTCTGTTTCCTTCCACCATTCAAGAAACTCTGTCTCTAGATGCGACTCGTACGCAATCCATTTCTTTCTGTGCTGAGGTCCCACACGTCGGAGTGTCGCTGGAGGTCTTCGAGTAGTTATGTCGTAGGTTTTGCGGGGTCCTGTCAAAGGCTGCGGTCCATCTTAGTATACATGTAGATAACGCCGCAACACTCAGAGGCTAGTGGAAGGGACCATTTTCTTACGGAGGATTGAATTTCAGAATCCAAGAAGCCGTCAGATGACGGCTCAATAGAGAGCAGTGGACTGAAAGGCCGATGTATTGATCGCGATGATGAGGAAGAAGACGCCATACTGAAGTAAAAGGCCACTGATATTGGAAGAAGGGGAGATTTTTTTCATCTTGAGTACTTGATTGTGGATTTTGTTTCAGTCGCGTCGTGCGTTTGGATCTATCTATTCCTGAGTTGCGTAAAAGCCGCGGGTACCCAAAACCCAACCCAACCCAACCCAACCCGCCCGGAGATGAATACGACTTTGGGAGGACACTGAGAAGGTCCAAATCACTGATTTTAAATGATCGAACTAAAGATGATATTTTTGAGCTCACTCGAAAGATTCTCAATTGATAAATTTACATAAAATCATCAATGTGGCCTGTAATCCCTTCAGTTGTGTAAAGCAGGGCGATGGGAGCAGTGTTCTACATGTAGAGAATATATATTTCCAGGTCGATGGCGTTCATTGTTTCAATGTAATATCCACTCAAAAGCGTGACAGAAATAAATGACCAAAATTACACTAGATGACTAATCAGGGTTATCCACGATTTATGCATGTTTTTGGGTATTTTGGGCAACCCGCGGGTACCCGCCAAGAACCCATGGGCGGGTTCATCAAGGCCAAAACCCGCGGTGGGTTGCCCATGGGCGGGTAAGGAAATTGAAAACCCAACCCAAACCCGCGTTTGGCGAGGTCTACTGACGCGTAAGGTCATCACGTGATCGACCCCATATGCGCACCGTACTTAGTCTGTCTTCTGTTTCCGTTGCGCTGCGTCCAGGCCTTGGATTAGTGGGCTAGTCAGCTCTCTCCGTATTCCGTAAACAATAGCCGTCTAGCGCGATCCAGGAATGCCCCGTGTATGGAGCTCATCTTGCCGCGTGAGACTACGTACACTGGTGAGATCCCTTACTAGCTCAAGCCAGTGATTCTCCAAGTGCCCGGATCTTTTGGATCTTCTCCAAGGCTGTGTACAAATACCTCTCCTGCGTTTTGCGAAAGCTGAGAGCCGGTCTATCTCTAGGTTGTTGATGGATCACGAAGATTCTACTCTTGATGTTCTTCTGCGACGTCGTATGTATTTGCCCCTTCCAACAGCGAAGCCGGGATACTGATACTCAAAGTGCACATCAAATGTAGACTCTTGAACCTTCTGCTGCAAGACTTGGGAAGTCATATCTAAGTCTGCCAGATCACGTTGTGAATTACAGTAAGGGATACTACCCCACCTGAAAAGGCAGATGCCTCCTTGTCAGCGTGTCTTTCCAATTTGAGCACTTGAGTCTTGAGGAGATTTGATAGTATCATTCTAGACTATACACCATAACAATCACGGAATCCTGACAAGTTGCGTACCTAGGTATAGCCAAGGACCAGTTTCGAATGCTTCCAAGGTTGATCATTGTATATATTATGAGTCACCTTAGCCTAAAGTCTATATATTTGATGTTGTTTGAACGGTGGCGGAACGATAGTTCATAAATTAACAAATTATGTAGTCCCACAGTGGCTCCATAAATAACGACTAATTACTCCGTGAAGGACACTAATTGGGATCTCTAACTCAAGCTACGGAGTACGCGGGAGCCTGATCCACGGGCCACGAGCCAATCATTACTCAGCAAGTCTTGAGTCCACCACGGGTCGATTCGGAATCTGCCAGGTCCCGCCCTCAGGTATTCTCGGGCGGCTTCCAAACGAGTCCGTTTTGTGTATTCTTGACTTCTCAGGTTGCATTACCCTGTCTTGACATTTAAACAACTTATTTCTCTTGTATGTATCGGGTCTGGTACAGTCTAATTCTCGCAACCCCTCAGAGAACTGGGCCGGAACTCGGCACAGGGACGGCGCCAACTTCGGTTATACCTCCATTAAAGGACGAGAATGACGATTGTGTG